TCGTTTCTGTGCACAGTTGGAAAAATCTGCTAGATTGTCAGTGAGTGCAACACATCAGGAAATACAGAAGTATTGTCTTCTCATTAACAAAAAAACCCAGGTCTTTGGTGGATGGATTACAAGTGCCTGGGAAAAAACAAAGCTTGAAGTCAATTTTCATACATAACTTCGTTGTGTGCAGAATCCTTGAATTATAGTTCATTGATGTGTTATTTTGAAATCAGTGATATGTTTGTCTCATTTGATCTGCAATGTCATTGTTGGGAGTAAATATACATAAGCTTCAGACGCATTAATTAATGGATTTCTACTGCTTGTGGGTATTTTCTTAGCGTGAGGAAGGTTTATGAATTTCAGCTGTTCCCACAGGAGTTGAGAATATTAACTGCTCAGCAACATTATGGATATAAGTTCATCACGTTATCTAAGGAAAGGTGGGTTGCAGTTGGTGAGGGATATATGGTGCCCAACAAGCGTACATCTCTCCATGTGATGTTGTGGTGAGTTATACCTTTTTCATGTTGTCGGTTTATGTCCATTTTATTCCACTTATTGTGTTGGGTAGAAGTTTTACAAACGAGATTTTTTGTCTGTTTGAGGATACGTGTCTTAACCATTAATGTTTTATCTAGAATTATAAATATAGGCAAAAAACAACAGGTGTAATATTTAAGCTTACACATTGAATGGACCTATAATTTCGGAGGCTCTCAGATAGGAACTAGAACTACTACCGTTTGCAAACTCTTGTAGTTTGTCACTAAGCACCTTTTTGAAGGAGGTCAATGTACTTGCTTGACGCATTTCCATTGGCAGTTTATTCCATGTCTGTGCATACCTAATCAAGTAAAACTTTTGCCTGGTGGCTGTTTTACATTGTTCGATAGCTACTGTACCCTTAATGTGTCTTATTTTGTAGCCATTGTCATCTGAAAGTCGAGTGCCATTAGTAGGGGTAAAAACTAAGTGTTTTAGAAGCTTATAGTAAAGTGTTAAGCTTAGTCTCAGGCGTCTTAGCCATAGTGTTTCTAGTCCTAGGGTATCACATCTAGTGGAGTAGTTCGCACCATTTTCGGTTCCGAGTAATTTTAACGTGAAGTACCTCTGCACTCCCTCGACTTTCAATTTGTCCTCTATGCGTATACTACTATGCGTGAATGAACAGTAATCAAATAAAGGACGCACACAAAACCTTGTAGAACAGAATTGTAGACTCATTTCTGTAGAAGTTCCTGAGTAGAAAGCCGATAAGTCTGCGTGACTTTGACACTTGTTTGGAGATATGTTCAGAAAATGATAAGTTATGTGAATATTTCAGCCCTAGGTCTAGTACAGATTCCTGTCGTTGAAGTGCATGGCCTTGAATTGTCAGGTCAAGTTCTAAATTGTTGCAACCTATGCACAGCCAGCCGCATTTTTCGACACTAAATTGGAGTTGCCAGGTGTCACACCATCTATCCATTTTTTCTAATTCTTGCTGTATGGCGTTTACTGTTATTCCAAGATCTGTGTTCTTGCATTTATACGTCACTTTTAAGTCATCTGCATATGGTATTGGTTTACCTACACTAAAGCATTCACAGATACTGTTTATATATATTATTAATAGGAGTGGGCCTAACACACTTCCCTGGATTACACCACTACTTACTGGTTTAGGCCTTGAGATTATCGGGCCAACTTTCGTTGTCTGACTTCGGCCACAGAGAAAGGATTTTATCCAGCTCAGGAGGGGGTCACATATCCCTAGTGAGCATAACCTGCTGACTAGCAGATTATGGGTAACTCTGTCGAAGGCTTTTGTTATATCGAAATATAGCACAATTACTATTTCTCTGTTGTCCCTACTTCGTGTAACTTCGTTGAAAAAGTCTATGTGACAGGTCACACATGATCTCTTTTTGAGGAATCCGTGTTGTGATGGATTGATAAGTTTATGTTCTAGTAAGTTGTCTGACACTTGGTCTTTAACCACTTTCTCGATTATTCGGGATATTACAGGTGTTATATTGATAGGTCTATAGTTGCATGCACTGGTTTTGGCCCCTGCTTTGTGCTTAGGTAATTTGTATGTGGTTTTCCACACTTCAGGATAAGTTCCAGTTTCCAACGAGAGAGTAAATATTCTAAGTAACAAGACTACCATTTCCGTGCTACCGTTTTTGTATACGACAGATGGTATGTCGTCTGTTCCAGTACTACCATTCGACTTCAAAGTCTTAATCGCTGAGTCTATATTTTGTATATTAAAGTCCATTTCGCCTAATTTGTGGTTACTTTTGCAGGTCATTTGGAAATTTTGGGTCGGGTGCACTCTGGCGTCATTGCAAAACCACTCACTGAGGAGTTCAATTATAACCTGGGGATCATTGTATATTATACCCTTATGTTCCAAGCTGCTTACAGTATTGTCTTTACTGCTTTTTAGACGTTTCTGCAATATCCTACAAAGTTCCTGAGTTTTGGAGTTACCCACAAGCGCTTTATTTTCTTCAAGTTGTGACATCATTTTGTGTTTCTCTTCAAGCAGTTTGAGAGTTTCATGTATTTGGTTTAACGCATTAAATTCCTTAAATACATGGTATTTCCTTTTCAATTTCTTTAGTTTTAGTCGCGTTTTGCGGTCTATAAATGGAGTTGGTGTCTTTAGAGCAGATTTTAGGGGCGCGATTGTGTCTCTTGCTGAGCCAGTTGTTTTGTAGAAAATAATAATAATAATTTGCTTTATTCCAGAAACAGTACTAGTGGTACAGTGTGGAATTTTCAGCACTTATCTACAATATTTGCATCTAATTTTACCGACATTTAAAATAAGTAATAAACAAATAAAAAAATCTGAAGACACCGACAGCAAAAACAAAAAACAGGATAAACACAAAATAATTATGAATGCGAAAAAGTACCAAAGTCTACCAAGGTCTAATGCAGTGTTTGTGGTGGTAGTGTGAGTAATCCTGAGGTGGTGACTATGGCATTCACAAACAATGATTGTCAGTTTAATATTGCCGAAAAGTATAGAAAAATAATAAAAACAACCACAAAACTAATAATTACATGATGGTTAATGACACGACAATTTTGTAATACTCATAGTGCTGATAGAGTCGGAACCAGTGGATACACAATAGAAGGAATATAGTAAAGTACAAAAAAGGAGGCCAATGTTAATATTTCAGGTAGCTAAGTATGTTTGAGAAGGAGTTCACTAAAGAATACGAAATAAGAGAGAAATAAAAGAGTATGAAATTATGTTGTTAATAACAAAGCAACTCACAGGTTTCACGCTTAACATTGTCTCTGTCGCTTAGAACACGGGCCAAGTATGGTATCGTTGAGTTCCTGTACTTGGTTGTACGAGCATAGATTCTTTTATACTGATTTCTGGTTTTACTTGATGAGATACAAGGAGAGAGTTGGGAATAGAAAATCTCAATTGATACTTCTAAGTGATTGTTGATGAAGTATTCTACCCAGTCAGAACTTCTCAACAGATCTGATAGGAATTCCCAATCGGCATTCTTATAGTCCCTATATTGATAGTGCACCGGGGAATTTTTAGGTGTGTATTTAGTTGTTAGTGGGAGGGGTAGCATGCAGTACGATATGTTGTGATCACTGTTATCAAGTTTATTTCCTACCTCCATCGAGATGGGCTCTATTTCATGACAAAGGATTAAGTCAAGTGTTTTCATTTCTTGTAGGGAGGCGTGCGCACTGCTTCCATCCGCCTACGTCTATAGCTTGTAGTAACTCGTCATGGATTCTAGGTCCTGTACAGGTATCCCAGTTTACTCCAGGCAAGTTGAAATCGCCACAGACTACTTTGTAGTCGAAGTCCAGCGTAGCTACATGCTCTAGTATTTCTCCAATAGTTATATCAGTCATTTCAGAGCTATTAGGGGGTCTGTATATACATCCCACATTCGTTTGTGTGGATGCTTATCCACTTAGATTCAGGGAGTTTGTCAGTAGTTGGGTTACTGAAAGTATTGGAGTTAGTGGATTTAGAGGCATATATTAAGCAGCCGCCTCCTCTTTTGTCAACTCTATCGTTCCTATAGATGTCGTAGTTGCCTATTGCTAGCTTTGAGTCAGGCATATCAGTAGTAAGCCAGGTTTCAATCACCGTTAATAGTGTTGGCCGTTCTATGTATGCCAGGCAGCCAAGCGATGTAGTCGATTCAGTAGGCGTCTTCTTCCATGAATTCGTTATGCTTACAAAACCATTTCGACGAAAAACACTCCTTATCTACCTCACAAGTATTAGACAGTTGAGTTTTCTCTCCAACCTTTAGAACAGTCACTTGCAATAGTGTAATCTGTTTTTATTCTGCATTATTCTTTCCGATAATATTGTACAGTGTTCTTTCCTGGATATTTGGTCACGAAAATTTTTGTCACGCATTCTGACCACGACTCCTGGAGCTGACAACTAAATAATTCCCCCTCCACTACTGGTTCAGGTGTGTGTTGGTGATAGTGTTCTTCTTGCTGATATTCTATTGGTTATCCCACCTGCACTCAGGATGTGATAAACTAGTGAGTCTTCAGGCAAATAAACATCCGATTTCATCGACTGAACCAAATGGGATCTTTTTAAGCGCTTTTATTGACTCTATGGCACTTGAAGACTAAATGACTGCATGGATATGCATCAAATAAACCTACTGCACTAAGAAATGGTTAACTCCTGGGCAATGTACTCAAGCGCTAGTAAGCGATGCCACACTGTCTTGTCCACTCCTAAATCTTGTGAATTTTTTAGTTATCATGCGAGTTCTACTCCCTATCGAACTCTTCTTTCTTCACCCGGTTTTCAAATTCTTTTCTAATTTCATTTCAACCGATGGAAGTGGGTCTGGAGATACGGCACTCCTTGATCCTAATAGCCCTCATGTTTGAGTACTTAGCAAATATCTTACGCTTTAGAACCAAAAATTAAATGATGTACGGTGGAAAATTCAGTTGCCCAATTTTTCTCCTCAAGTTTTGAAATACGACTCCATTTCATTCGTAGGCTAAAATCATAATCGAACGTATGCATGAGCTTCTAATGATCGACGTTTCTGTCAAGGATGTAGTTAGTAGTTACCTTCATGAATTCTTTTAACTTTATTTGTTTAATGTAGCTCATAATTAAGGCCTTTGGAAGGCGCAATTTTTAAAAGTGTTATTTGTTAGTGTTTTTGATCGTCGCTGGATACATTTTGTGAGAATGGCAGGAATTGGAATGGCCAATGAGACAGTATCCCATCGATCAATGTTTAATTCATATTTATTTATTTTAGCACCATGTGATTGACACAGAGGTGTGTCAGCTAAACGTATACGTGCAGGTAATATTTTAATGCTTAGTTTGTCGTTGGATTAAATATTTGTGTAGTTTTAACTCACGTACATGAAAATAATGGCACTTCTATTTCTATACTGCCACTTTTTTAAAATTTTTACAGAAAGGGCAGACTTTTTCATCGAAACAAGGAAATTTGAGTTTCCATTCTCAGTATTTTTTTAAGTGCCAGAGCAGAACATATTTAAACATTGCATTTATTAGGATAGATTCACAGAAATCTTTTATTCTCACATATATATTTTTTACGGCAATTTTGTAAACAAATTAGTATTTGTGGAGCCTAAATAAACGTGATCGTAATACAATTTTTAAGGGGAACAGAGCTCAGCTGCTGTCAAGAATTCTGGGTATCTTTGTCTGCGAAATATTACCCACTTTTTATAGATGGCTAGGAGAATAAGAGCACATAGGTTAATAATAGCACTACTCGTATGACACTATGGACAACACTGAGAACTCTTATCATTATTATAACTTAAATTAAATTAGTGAAACCTTTCTATGGAAAAGTCTTTATTTATGGAACGGCGAGAAAATCAATGTATCAACGCCTGTTCTGCAATACATGTCGTTTAATTTAGTCTGTAATTATTTGCACAGATTCAAGTGACTAATATCAAACTAAGTTACAGTGACACGATTTTCAAGGGAAGGATAGTAACTGATGTGCTTATCTGATTGGGTTTTTCATAAAAGTCTTACAAGCAACATACACGTTTACGAAAGCAATTTGAAAACATTTCCATCAAAAATATTCGTAAGCAGTAACTCTTGTAAAAAAAGTGGATTGTGACATTCCTAACTGAGGTATTGTGATACAGATTTCGGTACATAAATCGGATCTCTTTCTTCTGTGTTACCGCCAGCCTTCTTAATGAGTTTCACTAATGTAGAGGAAATGCTGCGAGCTAAAGATGATGTTCATCAGAGGTTTATGCAGTATGACTCAACAATGTAAGCTAGCCATGTCTAGAAATTTTAAGCAGTACATCATGAAGTTGAATGAAAGATATAATGTAAACAGAGATGAGTTTATTGTCTAACCTGTTCCGACAAAATTTTAAAGGCTTATGTGGAATTCTGGCTGGATGAGAGTGTGTAGCAAACCTTCTCACATGCTGAGTGATGCATGGTGTCATAAATTAATGTGTCATACACCTATATGTAGTTATATGTGAATCTCCAGAATCTGAATTCATGCGTTGTAAGAATTTGTGAGGGTGGTAGTCATATTACATACCTTGGTATGTCTTATATGAGGAATTCCGAGTAATGTACTGCCTTTTTTGAACAGGCAGTGGTTCTGAGTAGCATACAAAGCAGACGAGAGAGAAATTTTATGAGTAAAATTCAACGATAGAATCTATTACAACAAAATAATCAATGCAGATGGTCAATAACAAGTTAAAAATTGGTGAGGTAATGTAAGTGATTGCTGTCACTGCTCTAGGTTCCTTTGAGAATTGCACTAAAATAATGTAGATCGGCATACTTAATTACATTAGTACAAACATATTCGCTTTTTGTTCCCATGAACTTGGCTTAAAAAGCTGCATATACAACCTCCAAACATTCATGTATAACACAGCTCCCCTTATGCTACGAATTAGGCTTTTCTAAGGTTGCAAAACCAAGCAGAATAAATCGATTCACTTCTCTGTGGGATTCGCATGTGTCACATAAGACACAAAACTAGGTTTACATGCAGATTCGTGTTGACAACAAAATATAGCTTATTTCCTTATTCTTCTGCTTTTCTATTCAGTCTAAATTACTGTGGCATTTATTGCAAAAATGAATGAAGACTAATTGAAGGTCTCAGTAGCTTTTGAGTATATCAGAATATATTCTCAGTTCACTGTCTTCATTATTGCCTAAGCAAAACAAAATTTAGGGTTGCAAGCTGAGCTTAGTAAATCTACGTAAAGTTTTATGACAGTTTCAGCTACGGAGTCTATGCATAAACGTAAACTGAATTGACTTTACGTAGTTGGGGGCTTTTTCAGCTGAGAGGAGAGATGGTTTAAACTATTAAATAGAAAATTTTCACTGTTGACTGCATTTTAGAAGTTTAACAAAGAAAGGATGACAGAAGTTTTGAGTTCATGGTAAATTGCTGACTTATTTCTGTATGCTCAAAAGAAAATCAAGGCATACATATTAATAAAATGCAGATATCATTATATGATGATTTGGTAGGATTTGTTATGTCATGAACTTAGTGATGAGGACAAACAAATGATTATGTTGACTATTAGGCCACCAAAAAATAAATCAAACTGAAGTGCATATTATTGCAGTTTTCATACATAAACTGAATATAAAAATATCAGTGAACTGTTCAACATTTCGGTGGAGTTTACCAATTAGGCATTTAACTTTCTGTTACTGACATTTTAGTAAGTACCAGTTGACACCCGGCTTGAATTCTGATATAAAATCCATTTAAAGATAATTTCTGAGAAGAGGTAATCACTGAAGGAGTTCACTAAGACCAGCGCAGAAAAATGCTCAATGAGTGTATCGAATTGTACTCAGAAGTCTAGAAATCATTTACTGTTTGTATTCAGTCCATTGGCTAAATGGTAACGAGCTCACTTAAAAACTTGACAGACCGTCTTCGATCTACTCTTGCCCTGTCGATACAAACCCGCTGAATGATTATTAATAGGAGCCAACACATTAAGTACCATCGTTCACCAAGAGATGACAGAAAAATTGGTGAGTATGTGCATACGTGCGTATTTACTGATAGTATTGTATAAACTGCTTGTGAGCTTTCTGAACACGAGTGTTAGCAAAGTAGTACTATTCAAAGTTGACTAGCCGACTAAGCACAATTAAATATTTAATTAATTAACAGTTCATGCCATATTTCACTCTAACGTGGTACGGAAACACAAACAATACCTGTCGGTTTATAGTCTCTAAGGAGACAGATTTGATATGTCTGTTATTCTTAATGTTGTAATAGTTTCTTATTTGGATTATTTGAAACACTGGTACCTCTTTATGAGGAATAAATAAGAGTTTGTGTTAGTCTTGTAATCACAAGCAGTAATGTTTGTGTTTATGTGATGCTCTTTTCTAAAATATAAGCATTTGTTACATTCTTTATTTTTCTAGGGTAGAATAATGCCTCAAAAACCAGTGTTCCTTACCTGTCATGATTTGGGATGCAATCGTGAGTTATAATACTATCATGATTTTTTGGCAGTTCTCTCCCTATATTTATAATACTATTCTATCTGATAACATGAATTTTTGCTTATTTGCACCAACAAGGTTAGCTTATTTGCCACTGAAGTTAATTTTTCAATTTTTGATAAACCAAAACTGGTCGGAAATTTCAAACTGACAGTTGTGTGTTCTGTAACTCCACCCAGTGATGAGGTATAACCCGGTTTAAGGCTACACTTAAGGTGTCATCATATATAATTTAACCTGATTTGGCAACTATAAAGAATGGGTACCACAGTCAAGGTTCCGCTAAATGACGTTGGACCACCTCTTGTATATAATAAGAATGATTTACAATGAATATAAGTGTATGATATGCTACAAATTATATCCCAGTTTCTCATAGGTGTGGTTAATGACACATCAAACCAGCCCCTATACATGAATTTACTTAAATGACTATTTATTATATCATTTTGTGAACCATTTACCACTCTTACCCTTTTTTAAGTGCGCTCTAAATTCTTCTACAGAATTTGTAGGGGTGTTAGTTGTTTAACAAACAGAATCTGAAGAATGATTTGCTTTTTGATGAATACAACCCATTGACAATGTCCATTTCACTCATCTGTATGAATAGTTATTCCTAAGATCACGGAATGTTGTAATATTGGTAGTAAAACACTGGCACTTCATTTTGGAATCTCTTCTATGAAGTCTTTTCTTGTAGTAATATCATACAGTCCCAAGACCTAGACTTGGTCAGCTCATTGTACAAGTAGGTTGTTTTTGCATTCAATAAAAGCAGTACAGGAGTAATCTGATTCAACTTTTATGATGAAATACAGCAACAATGCTGATACCTCTGCACTGTAGACACCAACGTATTCTCCTTTTCTGCAGCAGTAGTAGACACAGGACGTTTAGATGCCACTTGTAGCATATACGCAATATTTTTGTTGACGAAATTTTGCATTTTGGGAAAGAAGCAAATAGAAATCAAAATGATATACAACTTATAAACTCTTACATACTTCCTGCAATGACGAGTACTAGGTCTGAATGCAAAAAACCATCAATTGCCTGGCAATAATTCTAAAGCGTCATATTCCCTCCACATGTACAATTTTTAGTGCTCACTACCGAATCATTATCCACACGACACTTGAAAACCAAATCAGAGTGAGGTCGATAACGTAGTTCGTGCACAGTGTCTATTTTATTTGGCGAATAGTCTGATTGTTTTGCTCAGGGTAATTTCGTCGAACTTTAGTTGTGCTGTCTCTTCTTTATAACTGCTCTGATTTGTTCGATCCTATGTAAAACGCGTGTGATTTGAACTCTGGTTGACATACTTTAAGAATTGATCAAAATACTAAAATTTATAATAGTTAAAACAGTTATTTTTGTTAAATTCGATAAATAATAAAATATTATCCTCTAAATAATACAGTATCATGATATGATATGGTTGAAATTACTCACGTTAAACAGTAGTACTTGCTAAACTGATAGAAATGATCGAAACATCGGATAGCTGTTTCATCCCTCTGAATTCATGCTCGTCAGGTCGTACACCGATCAGGCGGACAAGCCCTACTAGTCGATGTGAAGAGTTTCCAACTATTCATATTAATTAGTAGTATATACCATCACCTTGTGAAATACGTCATTGCGATGTCAATATTTTGAGCTTCCGAAAGAGGCAGTGATGAGTTTTCCCCTTAAACTGTATTGTTTCTAAATGAGGAATTCAACTTAAATTTTTTAGAATTATTACTTGAATAATGTCAACTGCTTGTGTACCAATGTGCTGGTGGCACAGCAGTAGAATGCTGACCAACCACGCCTGTGGGTTGGGGTTCAATCCGCGGCCGCACTCCTTTACCTCGCTAAGCTAGTAATAAGATTTGTTAAGAGGGAAGGTTAGGCATGAGGCTAGCGACCCCATCCCTTAAAAAAAATAAATACCACTGCTACCGAAAATTCAAAGCTCTAGTCTGGAGCCCTATGTTCCACTGGGAAGGTACAGGAATAAAAAGAACTTGTGTACCAACAAATAAAGTTATGAATGATCTAAGATAAATAAACAGAGCTCATTATCCTATGGTAAGCTTAACCTGAGAAATAGAGCTGTATAGTCTTAAACTGTATTACTTTTACCTTGATAAAAATCCACAAAACTACAACAGTATTTACTTGTAGGGAAGTATGATAAACTTCTGAAGAGTTGGCTAAGATTCAATATAAATTCATATCACCATGGTCATGCCACCTAGCAATTTATCAGATGTATAAGAGTAGAGTTTTTTTGTATGACCTTAAGAACTTTCACCCGGAATAAATAAATCATCCATAAAAGCAGGCGACTACACACTTATTCTCAGCTTCATTGTCGAAAGTATGAATTACAAAGCCTTCTGTTCCCTTATACTTCGCTTTGGTATTGTCTGTAATTCACTACATCGTGGGAACAGAAAAAAAACACACTCTAAGTTCAGATTTGAGGTCAGATATAAGTTACTGAAGTCTCTGAACCGTAAAATTCTTTATTTTTCAGGTCAATACTTACACCCATTTTAACAATCTTAAAACGCGGGTACTTTATAAGTGTCGAAGACGTCTGTGTACCCTTTACTTGCTTAAATACTATTCGTTCTATGAGGGATCTGTCACAGTTATATCAGACTATTACTAAAATCTCAGTCGATTATATCAACAACTGATGATAGAACTATGTGAAATAGTCTTGGTTTTGGAAAGCTGTTACTGATGTAGCGAGTGAAGATGAAACAGAAATCTGGGTTGCAGCTAGATCTGAAACTGTTGCCTCCAAGCCTCCAATCTAGTACTGCGATATAGGATCCAGGTAGTCTTACCGTCTACGAACAACCTACTGATCTTCTTCTAATTCACTGTGATTAGGACTGACAAGAGAAGACCTAGGCTGACAGCTGGAAGATGAGTAGTGGATATTTGTGTATGATCAATTCAATTAACAGCTGGACACTGTCTGTGGTGATTCTAGTGAAATTACGACTTGTTAAGCAGTTAGGTCACGTAGCACAGCTGGTAGAACGTCGTGGTAGTAGTTTGGAGGCCGCTAGTTCTAGTCTTGCTGCGACTCAAACTTACTTTAATAAATGAGTTCCGGCTTAAGTGGCTGGACGGTCAGCAGGTTTGGCTTCTTAACCATAAATTCTCAGGTTCATTCCCTGATGAAGTCATGCGTGTTGACTGGAAAGTTCTAAACTACGTCAGAACAGCTGCTGGTTATCAATGAACTCTAACTGATCCTGCTTTGTGACGAAATTTACATTAAAATAGATTTTCTATGGTTGGTTTGTAAGAATTAGATTTGTTTTTTAAAAGTTGATCACGGATTGATATCAGTTAGAGAACCATTGAAAACCAGGGAGTACTGGACAGCCATCTGTTTCATCCTAGTTCGGTAATCATCGGCATTACGCACCTACTGGGGTTGGAATCCAGAACCATCCAGCTACAAGCCACTGGAACCCGATTCAATGCGGATGATTCTCAAACTAGGATGAAACAGCTGGCTGTTCAGTACTCCCTGGTTTTCAATGGTTCTCTAACTGATATCAATCCGTGATCAACTCGTAAAAAAATTAAAATAAATGTTAGTCTTTTGATTTTTGGTACACAACATTCATCTAAAGAATAAAAAGAGAAGTTCAAGACATAAAGTTTCCTTTTTTTTCAAATTCATTACTAACATGACTGTCAAGATTAAAACAAAAGCAGAACATGTATGTACCTATCCTTAGTGACTTTACTAAAAGTGTTTGCTCTAAGATACTTTGTTGTTCCATGTGTATTTCTACATTTCTACTCTGTTATGGAATCTACGATACACATTTCTTACTATTTACAGCTGATGATAGTTTGTGAAATAGAATGGTATCATTTTTATACTGCAGGTCTGGTCTTTCTTCATTGGAACCTATGAAGGGAACTAATTGTATCCTACTTTATTATTGCAATGATTTCTGTTTACGCATATTGCATATATGGTTTTTACCAGGTTAAATACCTTGTGATGTATACATAACTACACAATTTCATATGACCAGTCTTTATTAACAAATAGTGATTACCTGTTTCCTGTATCGGTTGGAAGAGACAAGTAATGAAGTGCTGCAACGATATGATAATAACAACACTATCTTGTCTCCTTCTAACACATACTGACAAAAAATTAATAAATGATTAGATTAACTAACATTTTTAATACAACGCACCTTAATTCTACAGTTTAAAGTGTTATTTGATGCAAACACGTAGGATAATAGTAAGGCTTATATATTCCGTGTTTAATGCTGAATAGTGAATCCGTGTTTCAGTGGTAAAATGCTCGCCAGCCACGTGCATGGTCGCCGTTCGATGCTCGACCGACGTATTACTAAACCTAGCTTAGCCAATAGAGAGCCCAGTCAAGAAAGAAGGCGGGACATGAGGCTGGCAAACGCATTCCATAAAAAACAACGACAACACCAGTAGCAATACTTCAAAAGCTCAAAAATTCTTGAAGCCTTATGTTCTATTTGGAACGCATAAGAAGTAATAATGTGGAATAATGAATAATTTAAAGTTGGCTGGATGGTGTAAGAGCTTGCTGTGTGGCCGTTAGGTCCTGTGGGTTCGTACCACAGTGGTGCGTACTACTGAAGAGTCCTAAAGCAGAAGAAAACAACTGTCCAGTACTCTTGATATAAGTATAAAACTTGGGCACTGTGGTAGAGTATAACTCCATTATAGATAAGATTTTATTTTGATAAGTCACACAGTGTTATACACTAATATTAACTGATGACCACGTTTTGAGCACAAACTATTACCACCCATAATCATATCAAGCTACTCACACAACATTTTTCTTCATTTATATACATGTTTGGAATCCATTAGATATTGGAATAAAAATCAATATAGGATAATGTACATTCAGAAATAATAATATGAGTGTTATTGATCAAATAC